TTGTTGTGTCTACAAAAGTGGAAGCGAAGGGATATTTTGGGAATGGGACAAAGATAGCAAAATATAATTGAGGTATTTACCGTGGTATGTTCAACATTTGAAAAAATATATATTTTTGGCTTTAGATATGCTCTGGAGAAAATATGTAATGAGAAAAACATGTTGACTGCCATTGCTGATCTCGTGAAAATGCTAGTTGCCTGGCTGTTATGATGATTCTCTGACTTCAATACCTTCATACGCACTGACCTGAAACATGTATGGAGATCAGTTGTCCTGACTTTGCTATTGACATACTGTTTCTGGGTCAGGAACTTGGCAGGCAACATATACCTTTTCTGTCAGATTCTCGTTGAAGGAACCCAGTCAGCAGGTAAAAGGTAAAACTTTATTTTTTGACAAACCATACCTTTAAGGTTGTCTGTTTTGCCTTTGGAATCTTGGAAAACATCCACTGATCCTGTTTTTGGCTGGAAACATAACACTACATGTTATAGCATAGCAGCTCTGCTGGAGACATATTCAAGCAAACAGAAAAAGACTCTTCATATATACCGGTAGATTTTTTATGATAAAGAACTCTGGATAATTATCATTAAACATAATCTAATTTAGCATTTTCTATAAATTCCAGTGGAATCTTTGACTTCTTCTTTGGCTTTTGGCTATTCTGGTGGCTAGCAAAATATATGAACGTAGTCTTATTTCAGAATTACCTGAATCGGACAAGACCCCCTCTGACAGCAGAATTGGAGACATGACTTTCGGGGCTTTTTGTTTTGCCTGAAGATCAGACCAGGCGGTTTTGAAATGTCGCTAAAGTTATTTGACACTCTGATGGTCAATAAAGAAGATTGACTACAAAGGTTTCTGGAGTGCGAGTGACTTTCTACCAGTTACAGTATATGACATATAGAGGCATCTGCGGTTGCTCCAGCACTCCTGACCGGGGTTTTCCGGTCAGGAGTGCAATGGGATCTACCATATGCTAAATGACTTTAGGGCAAACTCCCTACTCACTTGCGTAAGGTGCCCCCATTCCAGCTGGTAAGGGGAGAAATTGCTCTCCCTCTTCCATTGGGGGAGTAGTCAGTGGAATCCTCTGCCCCCTTCTCTGGGTGGTGGAAAGAACAGATTAAGATAGATAGATAGATAGATAGATAGATAGATAGATAGATAGATAGATAGATAGATAGATAGATAGATAAACAAGGTACCCCCTTCCAAAGGGGACAGAACAAACTGGATTTCCTCCTTTCCTAAAAAGGCAGAGGCGTTAAGGGGCGAAGTCATCATCTCTTATTTGACTGATGTCTAATAGTTAGTCTACCTTTCCTGTCAGTTTAGCATCATATCGCAGATGGCCCAGAAATGTTATTATTTTTTTCTATATGATTCCACACTCAAAATCACAGGTGCCTTTGTAAACAGCCTAAAAGTTTAATGTGCACTAATAACTGTTAGAATACAATAAACTCTTTCACGAAAACGCATTGTACAGATAAAGTGGCTTTTCTTATATCCTTTCTCTCTTCGGTTTATTGTTAAATTCGCACATAAATACGGGTTCCCCAACACAAACAGAAAGCACTTGTACCTTTTTAGTGTTCTGTTAGCACTTATCTTTCTCACCCAGCAACAGGCTTCCACAGCAAAGAGTGCCCTGAGTATCATACAGCTCCCATGTGTGTATAGATGAGACTAATAGCGAGGCCTGACCAGCAAGTAAGATATGGACATTGAAATACAGTAGAAGCTAAGGGCTCAAGCACACAAATGTATTTGCGTGCTTTTTTATCAGCACAACTTACTAATCTTAACACTAGTTTTCAATGTCCATACCAAAACGCGTAAAGATAAGCAAACCTGCTCTGTGTTTAATTCTGTAAAATGAAACAGAAAAATCTGCATTTGATATCTTCTGCATGGACCATATCTTTTGCTGTATGCATATAAACATTTGTGCTAAAAGTTACATGCATGCAGCCTGACTGCACACTATCCTAGCAACAGGCAAGTGTTCTTTGTTGCTAGGATGCTGGTGGCTTGAGCCACCTAGTGTATTTTGTTGCCAGGATGCAGACAGCTCCTTACCACCTAGCCTCCTTCTTTGCTAGGATACGGGTACCTCGAGCCACCTAGCATTCTAGCAAATAATAGGGCACCATTGTGCTATATGCTGTACGTATGTAAACACTGCGCAAACTTTACATGCACAGAGTGTACAGAGCACTTTTTATGCAGGACCTTGCTGTCAGCTTCTGCCAGCAAGGTCCTGCATATTAGTTGCAGTTTTTTCATACACCCGTGTGCACGAGCCCTTATTCCCACCCAAACCTCTACAAAGCCCCAAGGCTCCAAAACCCAGAAGATTATTAAGATTATCAGAAAATATCAAGTTTGTTTTCTCCACATCAGACACAAACCCTGGAGCCCCTCACATGTGTATGTTAGAAACCTATGCGACACATAAACACCATCCACAATCCCGAATAAAGGCAGTTCAATAATAAATGAATGTAAATACATTGTGAATCCCTGCATGTCCCGATGTCCTACCAGGTTGCTCATGGGTACGATTGTGAGGTTTTGACAGACCATGCATGATTTGCTAATTAGCAATGTTACTTGGCAGCTGTGGAGAATTAGCAAGTGATGGGTCTGTCGGAGCCATGGCAGGAGAGGGAGTATTCTCCCTGCTTGAGCCCTGGATACCTTAAATGACCGGAGATCAAGTGCTTATTTTATAAATAAACAGAACAAGAGTATGTGTAAAATATCATGGTGATATGATGACTGTGAATTTTCATAAAGCTGTTTTGTACAAGCTGTTGTTGAAATTTGGAACCAGACTTGTAGATCTTAACAGGGTTCCTGACACCTCAGCCACTGCTGATGTAGAATAGTATAACTGCGTGTGGGAGTGAAATCCTATCTCTGACCAAACTTGGGCCAAGCAAAGAGTAAAACAGAATCTTGGAGTTTAATTTGGAAGACGATTAGAAGTTAGTGGAAGGAGTTTAACAGTGTTGGCAGGAGATAAGTGTTGGGTGAGGCAAATTAGTTAGACATTAACAATATTTTGTGAGTGCTGAATCTGGAAGAGTAATAATTACAGCATCAAATATCACTGTGCTATGCATTCATGTTTTAGGGGTATATTGTTAATACATGTTCAAAAATTATCAATAATTCTTTATTTAGACAGCAGGTCAGTCTCCCCCACAATGGTTTCTACACCGTCATTTTTCTTTAGCACAGACACATAACACACAGGCTAACTTTTTCACTGTATGCATATAAAGGGTGGTATAATATTAAATTCGAATTAGACATTCCACTTATTATGGAGGTAAAGGAAACTATCAATAGAGTATAAGTGCATCCCCACACTTGTACTACACTAAGAACTATGAGTCTCTCTGCCGCAGATGTAGACAAGACATATAGAGGGTTATTCACAAAGCTAGCCGAAGGATCAGACGTATCTCCGGCTGATCCTCCAACTATCTACGGCCGAACCGTCGAACCGAAGGGCTGCTGTACGGGCTATTCACTATAGCCCGTAGGGCTTCCGAAGCTGACCGAGTGGCTCAGCCAAGCCAAAGCCATATGCTTCCGCTCGACTGAGTCGAGGTATAACCGGAAGCGGGCCGAACGGGCGGCCATTGGCCGGCCGAAAGCCTTGCAACTGACTGCTGTGCAATGACGGCCAGTTGCAATGACAGATCAGCGTCCCAAGGTTACCTGGGGACGCTGAACTGTCATTACACAATGACAACAGTTTCTTTTTTTTTTTCAATGATCTTTATTTTTTTTTTTTCAATGATCTTCATTTTGTTACTTTTTTAAAAAATCTTTATTTTTGTATTTTTTTGGAGGAAATCTTTATTTTTTTTATGATTTATGATTTATTTACCTTTTTAAACATTTTTTTCTTTTTTTTGGACTGATTTGCTATTCACTCGCTTGCTCTGCGACATTCGGCTATTCACTCACTGCTGTTCGGCCCCTATGAGAATAGGTCGAACGGCAGCGAGTAGCCTGCCGGAGGTTCAGCTCAGCCAATCCAGATGTTGGATCAGCTGAGTTGAACTCCTTCTGCACTTCTGCTCAGCCAAACATGCTGAGCATGTTCGGACGAACCAAATCCAGCCGAAGCAAGCCGATGTACGGCGGATTTCAGCCCTACAAGCCAGAAGTTACATAGTTACATAGTTACATAGTATTTGAGGTTGAATAAAGACATTAGTCCATCAAACGGCAGCTTTGTGAATAACCCTCATAGTTTTTTCATTCAGCTATCATCCAGATAAAAAAGAAGTCTTAAAAAAGAAGTCATGAAAAAAGAAGATACTTGTGAATGATTGTTCCTAAGCTGTACCTAGATTTAAGCTGCCAGTGAGCCCATCCTACTGCCATATTCTGTAATTGTTTTATAAAATGTGTCTTGAAAAATAGATGCATACTTATATCATTTAGCTTTGTTTGTTTATACCCTACACCAGCTTTACTCAACCTTTTTACCTTAGAGAAACCCTTGAAATAATTTTCAGATCTCAGGGAACCCCTGCTAAAAATGAATACATCTACAATATCATCAGTAACTTGTAGATGCTAATAAACAAAGTATCAAGGCGCATCATTTTTTGGGCCCCCTTGCATTGTTAGTCAGTGCAATGAAGAGCATCCCCTTACATTGGTGGTCATTGGGAAGAATGTACTAGTTAATTACTTAAAACATGTAGAACTTTTTATGTTCTAATTACTCTGTTGTTTGCTGTTTGTTACAGCAAGTGAGATTCAAATATTTGAATGAGTGGGTTATGATTCTGTGTTTTATTGATATAAGGAAGTACTATAATTTATTTTTTTTATTTCCCAACAAATGTCTGAAGGAAAGGGAAGCATGTGGATCATCTCACCATCAGTTATGGAAAATTATGTATTACTTTTTAAGTAGTTGGACACACTATTAAATACTTTTTCTTTTCCTACAGACGACTTTGCAGAAGAAGAGGAGGTGCAATCCTTTGGATATAACAGATTTGGTAGGTTAAGTTTTTTTAATACTCACCAGGCTAAGATTGTCTTAATAAAGTAAAATAAGTTACAACTAAAATGCTAACAAATATATTTAAACATAGGCCGTGTTTAAATATAGTCAGCCCCATGTCACATGGTACTGGTATATAACTAAGCTTGACAGATTATATAATAATATATATAATATATTTCCTTTAATATTTTATTTATATTCTGTACTAAAAATAGAATGTTGTATTTCTTTCAACTCAGGTATAGATGAAATACTGCATTTTTATGACTACCATTTGCAGACAGGAGATTGAGCTGCATGCTTTGTGAAATTTCCTAACAGATACTGTATGTTGAAACTAGACCTCAAGGACACACCTACTCCCCTGTGCTAGACAGCAACATTTTTATTAGTTGATTAATACAGTCTGTCAGAAAACATAACCGGAATGCTGGGCTTTCTTATTACAAAGTGTCATGGATGCATCCTGCAGTACATTTGTAAAAGTGTAAATGTTAAAAAAAAAAAATGTTTCTGGGTCTGCACAATTTCTATGAACCTTTTATATTATACAATAAACAGCAGGAGGTGCTGAAACATGCACAATAAGACAGGGACACCAAAAAGTCCTAGGTAGACAGGAACAGAATCAACATTTTATAGCAGGCAGATCATGGTGTTGGAGTACCCAAGACAAATAAAAAGGCAACGAACCAGGCTCAACATATAACTGAAATATTATTTTTGGTTTGACTAATCCTTTAAATATAATTGACCAAACCATTATAGTTTTCTTTTAGTAACTCCCATTTTTATATCATGTGTGCCTTTTGGTACCTGGGGAACTTCTTTCTTGTGCTACGCAGTTAATTTTGCTTGGCTATATGTATAAGCTTTTATTGAGCTGGTCATGATACAAATATAGCATTTTTTTAAAGTTTCAAGTATGCTGTCAATTGGATAATTGAGGAAGGAGAAGCAGTGATCTGGGGACTGGCTTGCCTTGCTGTGCCTCTGTGTTTGTGGAGACACACACAGCTTACCAGCACAAACAAGGGTGGAGCCATAGGACCCTGCAAGGGAAAAGAGCCACCCTAAAAACAGGACATCAGGGCCAGTGCGCAGGGGATCAGCTGATTCTCCGGGAAACTAAAACTTTGAAAAGTCAAGAAGCAGCATCCGTTGTAAGTGTTTTCATCAGCATTTAAAATAGCTCAAAAACGTTCTTACTTTAATATCACTATAAGAACTGTTCAGATAAGATTAATCACACTGGGTCTGCATTGTTTTCAACAAGCTAATTACCTTATAGACTTGCATTGTGAAAAGTGTGCAACCATTGTGTAACACTGGAAATCAGTAAGCAGGCCCTAATTATGTAATGGTGAAACATGGCTGCCACCATGTACATAGAATTACAAACGATATACAACAAACAAGGTCTTTCAAACTTTACCACACATTGTTAAAGGAGAACTATGGGGTTAAGGCTTTTCCCCATAGTTCTCCTTAGGGTAACGGGAGGACACAAACTAGCGTCCTCCCGTCACCCTAGGCTCGGTATACCGCGAGCTGTAGCGGATCTCGACAATTATGTCTGGATCCGCCCAGCTGCGTGACTGACAGCTGGCTCTGCCTGTGTAGAGGCAGAGCCAGCTGTACCCGCCCCCTCCCCCGTCCGTTCCGCCAGTCAGCGCTGGCGGATCGGAGCGGGGAGGGGGGAATCCAGCCCCTCCCCTGTCACGGCAGAGAGCCGTGACAGGATCGAGTGGTGAGCGAACACCGCTATGTGTTCGCTCACCTCCCGATCTACTGAGCCGACCTGTGACAATCTCATTGTCACTGGTCGGCTAGAACTATGAGGTGAGTGAAAAGCACTCACCTCATAGTTCTCCTTTAATATCATTTAAATCCAGCTAATTTTTACATGTAACTTGAAAACACCAAACATTCCCTTTAAATTGCCTGAGTTGTTATTAATTTAGGATTTTATATACCGTATGATCCACCTTTTGCATTAAAATGTGACCACAGTGCCATAAACACTGCATTGGTTCCTGCCATAACTTAATACCTTTTCAAAACCAAAAGGCTACTTAAAAGCTCTATTCTGTATCCGCTGTTATTCCTAAGGTTGATTATCAAAAAGCACAAATTTCCACATGGCCAAAGGGTTCAGCAGTTGTTCCATTTTGTTTTTGGGGGGCTTTTTTCACATTTTTAAACACAACCGAAAAAGAAAGGAAAAACACACACACTGGACACCCAACAAAAGCAGTTTATTCCCTCCATCTTTCCTGATTTCCAACTAACTTTATACAATGCAAGTAATCCCTAAGTTACTTACAGTATGAGTTGCATTCACCCAATAGCTGGATGTACTTTGCCTTTAATGTAACAAAGGCTCTTAGGGGGTCTATGTATAACTGTTTTTCACTCAAGATTCCAACAACTTTCTTTCACAAAAATTGTATTAGTTTTATAATACAGAAAAGGCAGTAGCAAACAATAAGGAAAACAATTAGACTGGAACAAGAGCTGGAGAGTGCTCAAAAGAAATGGGTTCACAAATAATAACAATTGAGTTCAGTTTGAGTGCAGTAAGCCCAAACGCACAAAACATAGTGTAGATAAAATAATGGTTGACTCAGAAATGAGGTCCCGGCTGACCAAAACCATCATATTATTGCAGCAGCTGCCGCAGACAACATCAATCAGCACAAAAAAAACCCCAGTGGATAGCAATCTAGTACATTTGCCAGCAAAACAAACAGACCAGCAAACAGAGATGACCCAATTCACACAATTTTCACCCAAGATTCATACCATCTTAATTGGATTTCGAAAACTGTGTACATTTTGTGTGAAAACATTTATAAATAGACCCCTTAGTGTCCTGTTTGTACGAAGGCAAATTGTTTTTTTTTTACTGACACATCATCTGCATGACCAAAATATGATATTTTGATTACCGGTATGTGGTTATTTTAATTCATTCACAGCAGAAGAAATATCAACATATTTACTAAGATCTACCTTTTTATTTTGCAAAATCTTGACAGATAAATGTGTTTTTTTTCTTTCATTTTGGGGGTCTTGTTAACTGACTAACAATTAAGTTACATTCTACGATATTTTACTGTCTTAGAATAAAAAGTAAGTCATAAACATACAAACTGCTGATCCCACTAAACCTTATTGCAGGAGTATATTTAATCTGGCTTTCACTTCAGAATTACAGGCAGCTGGAAACTTTTGTTGGTCACTTTCTGGCATAATTTACTCTGACCAAATATCCTCTGCAGCGTTCAGCAAAGGAGCTTATTATTCAGCAGTGTCTGTATACATGTTTTAACCAGTTGACATCCGCGGTGTTAAACCCCCTTCCCATCCAGGCCATTTTTCAGTATTCAGCGCTGCGGTACTTTAACTGACATTTATTCCGTCATGCAGCGCTGTACTGAAATGAATTTTATAAGGAGGCTACACAAAATGCAAGCAATTCTTAAATAGGAGAATTGTCTTTTTGAGGACCTCTGTATTTTTATGCAACATTCAAAGGAAATATGACAAAATCAAAACTGTTGTTGAGTTTGGCCACTTTCCCAATACTTGAGGTGGGGTTGTTCATGTGTTCTCTTCTTTCTTGAATTTGTGGTTGAAGAAAACTTGAGTGGTTCACGGCTGTTCTCGCTTATTAAATATAATATATGTACTGCAAAAATGTTATTTTGCCTGTCTGGAAACTTACATTAGTTTGAACTGTACTAAGATTGCAACTGTGGCAATTAAAGATACATTGAAAATATACCTATTAGGAGAACTGAGTAGGAAATATCCATACTGCATCAATATGTTACCCCAAACTATCCATAATCTACCCTTTTCCACAGAATCACTGTTTGTTTGCGCACCACAGAAAGGTGACACAATGAAAACGAAAACAAACAAAAGATCAGGAGCGCAACTACCAAAATTCCTTGTGTGTGAGTAGGTGAGTATGATCCGGCGCAGGGACCAGTGGACATATAGATGAGGACAGAGTCAGGCACACTATTAGATCTTTAGAATGTGGGGTTTAGGTGTCCATGGCAATGTCACAGTGGTAGAAAAGGGGACTTACAATTAGGAGCTCCCCTGTTGTCTGTACGATCGTCTGCTTGGATCGATCCTGGTGTCTCCGGTGGTGTGGGAGGCTGGTCTGGAGTGGGTGTGCATCTGTTTGACCGTCCACAAACTCGACTGGCCGGGCCGAGCCGCGTCCGTCAGGAGCAGACAGCAAGGGGGGGGGAGCTACGTGCGGCTGAGTCCCCTTTTCTACCACTGTGACATTGCCATAGACACCTAAACCCCACATTCTAAAGATCTAATAGTGTGCCTGACTCTGTCCTCATCTATATGTCCACTGGTCCCTGTGCCGGATCATACTCACCTACTCACACACAAGGAATTTTGGTAGTTGCGCTCCTGATCTTTTGTTTGTTTTCATATTTTAAAAGAACCCAACCCAGTCTTTACAGAAACTGACATCATTTTTCACTAGTAACTGAAATATCCAACTGTGAAAAAATCTTTCACCAAAGGAAAAAGTCTCACATGAGATAACTGTATAGAATGTATCTTCTGTAAGCAGCAGCACATTGTGTGACCTCATGATAGATATGAAAGAATGAGGGACAACACATATGTTTTTTTTCTATTCATTCTCTGATCTATGCAGGTCATTGGCACTGGCTCTGACCTCATGCTATTAGTGGAGCTACTGTGTGACAATATATCTGGGCCTTAGCAATGGAAGAGACTTCAGAAATTACATTTGTTGCATACACTGGTGGAACTACCAGGGTCGCAGCGGTCGCAATTACGGCTGGGCCCTGACATTCT